CTCCCGCTCCCGTGCACTCGCTTTCGTATTCTTGCACTCACGTTCTCGCTCTCGCATTCCCGCACTCTCGCTACTGCACTCCCGCACCCACGTTCGCTAAATCGCACTTCGCTCGGCGCATCGCGCGCATTGTAATTAAAACCCATTTTACCTCATCTCACTCATTATAGGAAGGGTTACTCACCCACTCGCACCCCTCAGTCCGCGACACAGCAGTGATATATTGGTGATTATTATATTTCATTGATAGACACACTGCGAGCGTATCAGCGTCTGCGCAACGTGAGGCGCAGAACGGGTTAGGGCAAAAAAATTCCAAAACCAAGCCATTGAGGCTCAGTTTTGGGCACACCGTGTGAAATGGCAACAGGGGATGGTGGAGAGAAGTGGTGTGGTGGTGTGTACAAGATGGTGGTGGTGGTGGGTTTGTGCATTCACGCAACGCAAGGTGCAGAATGGGTTAGGGCCAAAAAAACCCGAAACTGAGCCGTTGAGGCTCAATTTCGGGCACACTGCGTGAAACAGCAATGGAGGACAATGCATCGGAGTGGCATGGTGGTGTGTACAAAGTGATGGTGGTGGTGGGGTTGTGCATTCGCGCAACGTGAGGCACGGAGTGGGTATGGGCCAAAAAACCCAAAACCGAGCTGCCATGGCTCGGTTTTGGGCTGCAGTAGGGCTGCAGGAGGTGGAGAGGGGTGCTGTGAGGTCACAGCCCCCCCTCCAGTGCTAAAATAGAGAGGGAGGATGGGGGTGAGGTGGTATGGTGGGTGGTGGTGGGTGTGCATACCTGCTGACCTGGAGCCCCTCCTGCTTCTCCTTTCCTTCTCTATCCACTTCCTTCCCCTCTCTACCCACTCCTAGCCCTCCTTATAGCCCATTGATAGGCTGTGCAACCATCATTCACGGTCGGTTGTGTGCTTGTAGCAGATGAGAGACAAGAGACTGACACATCAACTTGTCGCGTTTGGTGGAGTTTCAAACTCTGACCATTTTCAATCGTGATTTCAAATTTCATCGTAGCATATTTTACAGGATTCCTAAAATCGTGAAAATAATTACATACATTCTTTATACATGTGAGAATGTATCTGCAATTTTAATTTAAGCAATTCTAATCTGTGGGTATGTTTATGTGGTCATTTCATTTTCAGAGTTACACAATTTCCTTTTATATCAAAAATATGTGTCAGTTTTGAAACTCAGTTAATGGTGACTACAAAATACAGTCGCACGGTAAGTAAAACATTTTCCCACAATATACAATGCTCGTGTTAGTGAGCAGAAAGTTGCTTAGAAACTCAGGTTAAAAGAACGAGTTTTAAATTATCATTTAAAGACTCGTAACAATTCCACATTAAATAATGACACATGATTAAAAGTCATCCTCATCACCCTCAATGCCCTCTTGATCATCTTCTTTGTCCCCATTTTCCTCCACTTTCTCTTTGTCCTTCTGCTTCTGAATAACTCTTTGTGTGTATATGAACAACATGACATGCAAGAACCATCTGAAATTATCAATGGTCATTCTATTGAGGATGGGCTGAAACCTTTCAAGCTATGCATTAAGCTGTTCACATGCCTGTGAGTTGAAGGCACATGTATAGTGTGGATTTCCATTTACATCATTCTCCACTATCACAAGATTAGGTGCAGACCCATTTAATGGTGCTGGATTGCACCATTTACAACAAAAATAATCAGTTGTGCAATGATTGATTGATATAGTGGTATGAATCAACTATAAACCATGTTGTCTCCTTCCAAAGTCCTTGTGGACTCCAGGTAAATCCTCCTGGACTCTGCTTGGACTCCTCCTGGACTTCACTTGGAGTCCTTCTGGAGTGTAGGTGGACTCCTGAGGACTCCAACCTAACTCATGACTCAGTGTAAAGTGCTCCATTTGTATTAATTTTTTTAAATTTATTTGAAGTTTGTTTATTTATTTATTGAGCTGTGGAGAAACCAATGTTATTTAATTTCCCCAGTTCAATAAATAAATAAATAAACTTCAAATAAATTTTAAAAAATTAATACAAATGGAACGAGTAACCTGCCATGCAAAGCAATGGCCCATACCCAACAAGTTAAATCTTTATTAGGAATATCCATTTAAGGTAAAATAAATAAATAAACATCATGTATGCTCAAGGAGCCCACCAATAATTACTAATCACTCTCAATTTCAATATAATTACTTCATTTGCACTGAAGCAATTAGTATATAATTTTCCAGTGATCTGTAACAGGACACAAGCAGACACATGAAGACAAACAAAGTATGAGCTTAGACAGCTGTTGATAACTCCAGGCACCATGGACGAGTAAGAGTTTCTTCAGGTAATGGAATTGTGAGGTAGCAACGTCCATGGAGTGAGTGGCTTGAAGATACTAAAAGAAAGTTAGACACCAGTTGTGCAGTGGGAGACCAAAGAACTAACCTCAACACTGGAAATACTGACACTGACATGAGCAGCTTGTATCATGCTGACATCATTTGCACCTAGGGCTGTCCGCCGTAACCGTATATGGTATATATACAGACAATGGTGGTAAATATAAAATACAAATTCCTATAAACTTTATCTCCTTGAATGGTTTGCAAAGAATGAACAAGTGGGCACCATCCAAACATTCAGAGGATGCTGACAGGGTGAAATTTGTGTGACTAGTAAAGCAGAACCTACTGATGGTACAAGATAAAGTAAGCAATTGCCACCAGCAGTGCTTGCTCACCAAGAGCTAAGAAAATTGAACTTACCTAAAGCAAGTCAAACTGATCTTTCCTTCATTGGGTGCATTGTCCAGTAACTCCCACAGTGATTGATGGAGGAATCCCTGAAGGCCCTAATAAATTGTGTGAGTTGATGACATTTGAGTAGTTGAGAACAAAATGGTTTCAGCCACACAACCAATGTGATCACCTTCAATCTTCCATGGAAGCTCCTGGATTATGCAAACAGTCGTACAAGCAGTTCATTCGTCATGGGCCCATGGCAACCTCAACCTAGGTGAAAGCAATTTAGCAAAAAAGAATTGGCTTACTAGTGGCCAAATGAGTGCATAGTTGTTAAACGGCATAATTGGCAGGTAAATTTGTGTCTAAAATACTGGAAAAACATTTGAGTCCTATGTCTTGATGCTTGATGACTGGGACTGAGAATGCACTCATCTGCATCACTGAGAGTGCATTCTCAGTCCCGGTCATCAAGCATCAAGACATAGAATTTGTTATGAACACGACATGGACCCACATGGACCTACAGTCACATGGTTCAAAATCTACTGCACATGATCAATTTCAATCAAGAAGGCACCTGATCAGAGGACCTTCCCCATCCATCAAGGTTTACCCGGGGTGATGGCTCATCATTTGATGACATCATTCCTTATCTTCATCATAGAAGCGCTGTGCGCTTCTCCTCACTGCATGGTTAGAAGCATTGCTCACTTCTGATCTTATTGATGGAAGTGCTGTGCACTTCTTCTTATCTTCACTATCAACCAATGGGAATAGTTCCAGCTGCTGGATGAACCTTCACCTGTTATCTCTGATGGACATCAGTGATACTCCACATCCACAGCCTTCCTATTTGTCTGATGACCTTGATGCCACGCATCAAGAGTATTGCCATCCAATGGCATTACAACCTCGTCGCTGGACAATGTGATACCATACAGCATGATGCAATGCACAGTTGATTGCACATGCTCTTATCATAGATGGGACTATAGTACAGCCATGGATACATGTGGCTTGATTATGATTGGTAGATAGGTACTTATTACTATACTTGTGACCGGATCTAAGATCTAGTGGATTGGGTATATAAGTAGAGTAGTATCATGTAAATACCTTGAACAATCATTAACGACAGTTGGCCTAAACAACCAGCTGGAGTTCTCAGTCACTCTGATCTTATGACTTAGCATGGGTGATTCTGAGTACTAGGAACCATCCTCTTCATTGAGGACCTGGACTCCGTAGCCCTAGGTCTTAGGTTTGAGTTGAGTTCCTTACAGAACTCAAATGTTTTTCCAGGAGATTCCATGGTTCCAACCTCTTCGGGTAGTTCTGCTGCCTCATTTTCATGAGTTATAGATAGGAGTTTGTATGACTGTATAGTAAAGTGTGGACTGGAAATCCACTTTGCATCAGATGAGGAAGAGAAAGGGTGAGGAACCTTTATCTCATATGCAGCTTTACTAATAGCCCATTCTCAGTCTCAGCTAGGATGGGTTGGTCTGTGCGAGACCGAGGGCCTTCTGTGAGAGATACATACTGATTCTGTTATAGCTACAGGTCAATTTGACATGCTAAAATATATATATTTAACCTCACCAAATGCCACCCAAGGGACTTGATGAATCAATGAAGATGAGGATTGTTTGATCTGTTGTAAATTACATATTATAAATACATTCAAAAATTGGCAAACAATTAAATGTGTGTGCCTAATCACCTGTTTCTGCAACATTTATACATATATGCTGATTCAGGTAAAATTGAAATGGGATCTATATATATTGATTTCAATTTCTATTGGCAGGCCTGATGGTCTAGTAGTATGATACCTGCTTCGGGTGTACTCCCGCGTAATAATGATTACGCATTTAATTATGCAGGTGGTCCCGGGTTCAATTCCCGGTCAGGCCCTTCTTTTTTTTGTGGCATTGTTTAATATGCCTGTGACACACTTTCAGCTATTGTGCCATATACCTTACACACCTGAGACATGGGTAATTAAGTCTGTATCTGATTGTTTGCAGATATTTGAAAATATTTCACCTGTACTGAGAATCAGATTGTTGCCTATAGTTAAAATGTATAAATGTAACACAATAAGATTTTACCTCATGTATAAGTCTCTGTACAATAGAAATATTTTATTTACACATTTTAACTGGAAAACAATCTGATTCTCAGTACAGGTGAAATATTTTCAAATATCTGCAAACAATCAGATATGTGTACCTAATGGCCATGTCTTAAGTGACAGTGTGTTACATATGACTCTGAATGTTGCATGTTCACAGACTTAAGTTTGTACTAACTAGCCAAATGGTCAGTTATGTGCTGAAATGGGTAGAAGCATTATACAAGACCCAACATTCACAAAAATTTATAGTGTGCAACTTCAAAATCATACACAACAAACACACTGTGGGTTTACAGGTATGATGAGCTGGCCATGAATAATACTAGGTCTTTGCAGCTAATAATTTTGTGATTTGGTTTATTTTTAGCTCAAAATGAGCAATAGGCCTCAAACATTCTGTGAGGTGTTCACTGAACAAAATGCCTCAGATGCTCAATTCACTGTTGTGTATGATGTATAACCTGAATTTAAGCTTGTAATGGTACAGGGAGTGAAGAGACAATATTTGCAGGCAGGGCATGCCTATATATTTACAGATGTGTTGATACCACCATCATTTTCACCAACTTGCCAATTTATGATGAATTCAAAGACAGTAGGAAAGCTGAGTATATCAGCAGTGAGGCTACAACTGTCACATCTTAGGTTCTTTTTACTTAGGTGATTACATTGTGACTTCACAAATGAAACTATTACTTTCTCCTGTTCATTCCAAACAATAACTAAATCAAAGCTTGGGAGTGCAGATCCCATGTGAATATATCACAAATTTAGTTTTGTCTGCCATAATAGAAACCAAGAAGGCCAGATGGTCATGGATCCAAATGGCTCTTATCCAGTTGCATCTTCAGGTAACTCTGATTTATTTTGACTAAGAGCAACATAGCATGCTTATTTTGGTGCAGTCTTAAATCAATAATGATACAACAGATATGACAAAAGTTCACAAAGCATTCTCAAATAGCAACTTCCTGGGTTTACTAATGGAAGGAGGCGGAGATAGCAGTGCAGGCCTGTTGCTGGATATTCAGAGATGCATCAACAAGGAGCATGGTGTATTCACTCACATTGACGTCCCGCAATTTGCTGCAGGATTTCCCATGATGATACTTTCCGATACTCCAGCGATACTATCGTTCTTCCCAAATGCAGAGGCGTCAAACAGATGGTCCGTAGTTTTCTCAAACGAAGCCAGCATGAGTACGCTGTCCTTCATCTTCGCTACGCCGAAGCGTGTAATTCCAAGGACCTCCCCCTGCAAAAGTCAACAATCTAGAAGCAGTCTCGCTGATCAGGAAGGTCATGTCATACCTTGTAGGTCATAACGTCCCCAAGTAACATGACATGCCGGGGGTCAATGTTCATACTGTGACTTTTCATAGTATACTGGATTTCGTTGATAATTGTCAATCGAGCAGCTTCGATGCCCAGGACCTGCGCGACCTCGATGACATGGTTAGATGAGGTATGTTCTCCCACGATGCCTTCAATTACAAGGGTCAGTTCCTATCGATACCTAGCGACAAGAGACACGGACCCTCTGTGACCATCACTTTCTGGAGACCATAGCCCTCGACCAACAGCTCCTTGTCTCCTTTCTTACCTTTCGCATCGTCCCCCTCTTTGATATTGATGACGGCACGTTGGATTGTGGAGATACCCTAAACAACATCTCAGACACTGCCTGCGTTAGCCAGAGACTGAAACGCACTTTCACAACCACACTGGATAGCGACCGTTTCAGTTCTCGCAGGCGATAGTATTTGTCCGGGCCGTCGACATATATCCGTAGTCGATTCCGACGAGGAATGACTGTGATTGACTGTGTGTACAAAGCCAGTAAGAAAAGTAGCAATGGTAGCATTATGGAGATGATTACGTCGTGCTTAATTTTCAGCTTCTTGGCTGCGACGATAGCCCATTTGACTTCATCGAGTGTCAACTCCAGCTGGAACCAATATTTTGAGAGTTAAGTCGATGGGGTCAAAAGTAACAGACGCCCACCTGGAGTTTTTGTATCGCGTCGATGTCCACGATGACCCCAATATACGTGTACTCTGGTGCCCATGCTTCCTCGAGAACCGAGGCAACCTATAGACAGGCATGAGTGTAAGAAGTAAATTGACAGGTATGGCAAGGCACTTGCGTCTCCCAGATGTGTTCGCTCCAGCCGACCTTTGACAATCCGAGCTGAAGGCTCGCTGTCGTTTGTCACCAGCTTACAGCTGATGATTGGTGTGCTAATGAGCTTCGCGGCATTGATTATCTCTTTGATACGGGGCACACCCAGAGTCACGTTCATGGTTGCAACTCCGGCAAAATGGAAAGTCTTCAGAGTCATCTGGGTACCTGGTTCGCCGATAGATTGAGCGCCTACTGCGCCAACAGTAGAACCTGATCAATGCGGGTTAAGCTTGTTAGGTGAGACTCAAAGCTGGGATGAAAGAAAGCGGACTTGGTTCGATTCTGGCTTTCACATACTTAACCCAGCATAGCTGCAAGAAGGTGATGAGTTGCGCTTCCGTGACCTTTGATGTATTGTTGACAATAGCTTTGTCGGCGGCTGCAATGAACAACTGTTAAGGCATACTTGGTCACTATAATTGATTACACCAACCAGAGGCCCCCATGTACAAGTCGGTTTCAGCGTCCCATTCGGCTTCACGTTCAAGCGCATCATACATGCCGCGGCTTCGCCGGAGGTGGGCGAGCTTGCCAACGATATGCTTGCCAACGAAATCCCGTATTGTCGACACATAAGATGGCGTACACTCGCTGGTGAACTTCTGCATGGCGAGTTCCTGGTCTGTAATTTCTAATATTTCGAAGGGCAGAATACCACGGCCAGCTCGGCTTCCAATGGACTGCAAATTTTGATCAGGAGATAGCTCAGTTTACAGCTAGAGTGCATACCAAGGCGTGACTCCATGCTCTTTCAAATTCAACAGGCTGCGCATCTCCTTCGAGACAAGCCGGGTCCAATCCATCGTCACCGTATCGGAACTGTACAACCCCACCTGTCGAATTGCGAACAGATAGATCGTACTGCGTGGTGAGATCCTCCAAAGCCTTCATTAGGCGCCGTTGCATGTACCCGGTTTCCGCAGTTTTGACCGCAGTATCAACCAAACCCTCACGACCAGAGATGGCATGGAACAAAAATTCTGTGGGAGACAATCCGCTGTAGAAGCTATTACTAACGAAACCCTTGGAAGGTGGCTCCTTCGACTTCTTCGGAAAATGCGGTAAGGAGCGATCTTGGAAACCATCGGGCACGCGGTGACCGGATATAATCTGTTGACCGACACAAGCCACCATCTGGGAGACATTCAGAACGGAGCCTACCCAAACAGTCAGTGGATTATCGTACATGACCCAAGAGAAGGCTAACCTTTGGAACCACAAGTAGCCATGATGAGTGGTGCATTGTAGCGACTAAGCTCCTTCATACATATTTCACCAACTTCCTCACGAACTTTGGACAAAGTTCCCGAGATGAGCGCCTCTAAGGTCTCTTCTTGGTTGCAACCTGGCTTATTCTCTAGTTTCCCCTTCTTGGCTTGAGCTATCATGACCATGCAGTCAGCGTACGCTTTCTGCACAAGTGACTCCTTCTTTCCAGCAAGAATTGGCCCAGGGATGACGTCATTGATTCCCAATGAAAAGCCGACATTTGCTATAGAATTAAACAGGATGTGAGTGACCTCGTTACGAAACAGGACGATACAGTACCTAACCAGCGAGCGCAAAGTTTAGCCAACCTGTTCATGGCAGCTGCCGCCTCGTGAGGACCATAATCTCGGAGAATGACACCAAAAATCGACTTCTTCTTGCCGCTGCCAACAGTATATTTATCCATTACCCCACACATGATTTCACTGTTGACAATGACAAGCCATCCATCATTGGGAGAGAGATCGGGGGCCGGCTTGTCAATACCTGGGTAATTGACCGCCACCGCCGGATCCCATCTGTTACATTTCGACTCAACATTAACAAAGATTTCCGATTCTTTGTTGGGTCGCATCAGAACATTGAAGATCTGCTTTCCGGTCCACAGTCTGACGGGCTTCCAGACTGTGGGAGGAGGAATATCGATTTGCAGATCTGCGTCTGCAAAGTAGCAGCAGATCTGCGTGAATTGGCGGCGGTCAAAGAATTGGTCTTTCTGAGAAAGCAAGAATGAAGCAGTGATGAAATCTTGGATAGCTGCGATGACGGGTTCGCCGTTTCGAGGGGTGACAAGGTTGTGTTTAACACTCATAAGTTCGAGCGCTTCCGTTCTTGCTTCTTCAGTTTGGGGTACATCTGTGGAAATGATTAATATAAGTTTACATGTAAAACTGAGAGCCGTACTGACGTAAATTCATCTCATCACCATCAAAATCGGCATTATATGGACCACAAACACACTCATTCAAACGAAATGTTCGCCATGGTCTGACTTTAACCTGAATGATCAACTGAGTTAAAAGACAGTAATATAAAACGCAGAAGACCCACTCGATGACACATGATTGATAGCTGCGACGTAAAATTAGCAAAAGCTTTCCGCAAAACCGAAAAAAGGAAGCCACCTTATGCAAACTTGGCTGACGGTTAAACAATACTATATCCCCATCAACGATGTGCCTCTCAACGACGTCCCCAATTCTCAACCCATCAGCAATCGCACTCCGGTTCCCAAACCTCAAAAACTTCTTAAACCCATTACTCCCCGCAGTAACATAATTAGCCCCCGGGTGTACATCACACCCATTCCTCACAGCCAACCTCA